TCTCTCTCTCTCTCTCTCTCTCTCTCTCTCTCTCTCTCTCTCTCTCTCTCTCTCTCTCTCTTTCTCTCTCTCTCGTGCGCACGCGCGCTTAGAGAAAGATAGAGAGACAGGGAGTGCGCGCTCTAACATGGGCACGAGTTTTTTTTTTTGTTTTTTTTAATCAATCAATTCATCAATCAATTAATCAATCAATCGATCAATCAATCAAGCATTCAATCAATTAACAATCAATCAATCAATGGAAAATCATTTAATCAATCAATCAATCAATCAATTTTTATTTCTTATTTTGCTTCTTTTCCCCGTTTTTATTATCTTTATTTTCTTTAAACAGAAAAAAAGCCAAAAATATAAAATAAAAAATATGGGGGTGTAGAGCGCGAAAAGCTGTACATCACCATTTTTTATTTTTTTTTTCCGTTTTTTTTTGGGGGGGGGGTTCGTCAGTTTGTATGGGACGGTTGATACGGCCATACGACCGTCCGTACGGCTGTATGACCAGAGCCCCGCACGACGTACGACATGTTACACAGCCCTTGGAGCCTGAATCGGAAGCTCTGGTTTATCATTGTATTTTTTTTTATTATTTTTTTTTCGAAGCTATATTCTTCTCTCAATTTCACCTCACACACTGGGCCCTTAATAAAAGAAGTAGGAACATTGAAATCAAAAACAAAATAGAAAAGGAAAAAAAAGAGAAAAAAAGGCTTGAGAAATTTACCTAACTTTTTGACTGAGCTCTGGACGTAATTGAGGTCAGGTACATCCAAGAGCAGTTTGAAGTCCTGTCAGATGCATCCAGGAAAATCTTAGTGTGAGTACGCCCAAAAACTAGGGTCTTCACCTGACCAATAGAATGCGCAGTCATTAGAGACAGAGATCCACTCAACCCCATCCTGAACGAAGCGACATGGAGAGGGCATTGGGAGGTGGAACAGGACGTTCACTATGAGATTGGTGGGGGAAAACAAAGATCAATCATGGACAAACTTTGTAGTAGAGAAAAATTATAACATACCCCTGCCGCATAACCTTTGTATTCTTTTGCCCCCAAAATGGGCCAAATGTATGGGAGGCCCTCAGTGGCCCCTCAAGGGAACCTCCCCTTCATTTTTCCACCCCTTCGCGGCCTGAAAATGATTTTCTGACCATTTTTGGGCCACCGGCGTTACCGGCGCAGCGGTGGTGCAAAATTGATGCGGGTCTTCTCTTGAGGCCCTCCCAGACTTTTTGCCCCACGCTGAGTCTCACTTCCGGAGCTCCCAGACGTTTTGCGCCATTTGGGGGCGAAGAAATACAAAGGTTTTGCTGCGGGGTTATTCTGAAACTTTTACCTTTCTCTTATAAGGGGCCACTGCACCCTGTTTCGAGCAGCTGTTGCCCCCCAACCAATATGATATGATACGCAGACTGATCATCTCATCAGCGGCGGCATGAGGATATAGATACGAGAAATACAAACCCATAGAGCATAGAATATCGCGCGTGCCAAAAAGATCTTCCAATGTAATGTCATTAACGTATGAATGCCAGAGAGCAATTGTAGAAACATCATGAAAGGACACAGCTTTCGACCAACCCGAGAGACACTCCTTCCTGCAGCGTGGCAGCCACTTCAG